AAAGGAAACTAGTTGATAAGAATTAAAGTAGTCTTGGAAATTGTTTCTACCACTAGTTATACAGAAAGGCCAAATTATCCATTTGTGCCTGGGTGCCAGTGTGCCCATCTACAGCCTGGGGAGCTCGCTGTAGCTCCTTTTATGATTGGCATGTCAGGGAGTGAAACTTTCGTAGTGTTGCTGCCAAAATCAGTGCTCTGAGCTGTTAATGGACTGAGATGTACTTACATCGTCTCAGAGGCCAAAGGAAGCAGTGTACATCTTTTCCTTTCTCTCCCTTCCTAACCTTTTGCATTAACTTATCTGCAATGGAAGCCACTGCCTCAGCGTGGCAACCTGTTTTATTTCTTGTATTATGAGGTATTCCTGCTGTAGGCTTCTTCAGGTACCTCTCCGGGTGTGCTCCATCTCTCACCCTGAAGACTTGCTCTGTAGGGTCGCAGGGACCAGGCAGTTTCTGTGGCACTCAATGTGTAACATGTTTACCCAGCCAAGGAAGTCATACTGAGCTAGTGTCTCATGAACATACTATTCTCAAAGAAAAAGGTTGAAAACTGAGTCTATGAAACAAAGTGATAAGGGTGCTTAAAGAAAGCTCTTGGTTTTATACTCTCCCGCACTCTGTTTGGACATGGGGATAATGTCTCAGCTACTGCTTCCTATGAATGTCGATACATACCTATACTTGCAAACTTTTTTCCTGTGTTGGATCAGAAGAAAAGGCCTTTTTGCTACATATGACATGTTTCTGAGCTCTCACAGGGGCTATCAGACTAAAATGATTTGAAGACCAGATGGGTGGAACTGCCCTAAAACCAGACAAATCTTAATTGATTTTTCCATTCTCAGCTGAAAGCCTGTGAGTGGAGCTTTACAAGTGTCAACACTTGAAAGTAAATCCTTGCTTTCAAGTGAATTAGACCTTATGCTTACTTTAACCCTTATTCTGTTGAACTCAAAAGCTATATTTCCCTCTCACAGCACAAGTAGTACTGATTGTACTACTGATTGGACACTGGGAGAGAGATGCAATGTCTGCTTTGCAGGCAGCCTGCTCTGCACTAAGACAGCTTCTGCTGCTGGAGAGAGCTTCTCATGTGCAAAATAAAAATCCCTTACCCCGCTGCTCTTTATTTTTGTAACGTGATCCCTAGAGACAAACTGGCCCACTGGAAAGCAGAGCTCTGCCGATATTTGGGAAGGGTTTGGAGATGAGAGGGAGAAGGCAGAGGTTTGCGAAGCAGTGATATGAGATTGGAAGAAATAGGAGAGTTACAAAGAAGAAAAGTAGCAGAACAGATATTTTAAGTTTCCCTGCTTTGTTCTTGTCCTCTATCACCCTTTTTCCATTAAAGCTGAGAGATTTGGGGACAAGTAGCTTTTTGTCTTACTTGGCACTTAAATCTGCACTGTGAAGCTTTGTGTCTGGCTGTGTGTGATCTTCTTCTCTGTGCTCACCTCACAGGGCATGCAGGGCTCTTAGAAAAATTGCCACGGGATAGGAACTGCTACCACTGTCCTCAAGACTGCTGGGTCATCATCTAGAGTGGAGGGTTTTCCTCACAACCTAGAGGAGCTGTTCAGCAGGAGTTGGGGTGAGTGGAGGGAGAAAGGGAAGCAAAGGAGCATAAGAACCCCTTAGTCTGAGCTGTGAAGCAGCCACACTCATCAACTCAGAGCTGTAGAATTGCCGTCGTTGGAAAAGACAACAGAGTAGGTGGTAGGGGCTGCCAGGTCAGCTGATGATCTTCTTCATTGCCTTTCCAAATTGGAAAGGCATGCTGGGCTGTGTGGGAATCCAGTGGCAGATCCCAATAGGACTGGGTGGAGGGAGCTGAAGATCCTGTAATATCAGTGTAACCACAGCATCCCTTTATCTGATGATGCCTGGTGAACATTCCTGAGATTCTGCTGGTCAGTTCCGCACACTGGGCATTTGTAATGGGGAGGAGAATTTTCCTAGCATATCACTTTCTCCTCACCCTGATGTTTGTGGTTGCAATTGGATCGAGACCTAATGTGCTTAACTTCACTTATGCTGTCAGGTTTTCAGCACGTTTCACTAAGGAAATGAGACCCTCGCTATTCTCTTCTCTCTGCCCTGTTTTGTCTGTCAGCTGCCTCCACAAATAAAGTTTCAAGCTCTTGGCCATTTTCAGACAGATTTTCCAGGGAGATCTCAGACATAATTAAGGCATTGCAAGCTTCAAACAGGGCAGGGACTTGGAAGGGAAGAGACTCTAGAAGAGGGAAGTGCTGCCACATGAGCTCAAGCCCTGCTAGCTACTAGTGGAACCAGTCCAAGCTTGTTGATGATTATGACCAATGTATTTGGATGAAACCATGGCCAAGGGACAATTTGCTCCTAGATTTTGGGAGTGTTGTCTAGACTCATCCTGCCCTCCTTGGATGTTTTGTAGCCATGTCTCTTTTCACCTGCTAAGACCTAAACCTGACTGGGTCTAAAGTGAAGAAGGGACCAGCAGGTGCTACTGGGACTTCTGCTTGCTTTGATAATATGCCATACTATCTTCTACCTGGGCACATCTGTAATTTTGTCCTAGCAAATATGGAGGGACCTGTTACTGAATCTCTCCATGTTTTTTCCTAGTCCTAAGATATTTGTTCAAGCTTTTGGTCTTTGGAACTATACATTTCTTCTAAGGTGTGTGTGAGAAAAAGGAGAGGTGGGCACTTTGGAGGTTTCCAGGACTTAATCACAGAACCACAGAATTGTAGGGGTTGGAAGGGACCTCCAGAGAGGTCCAACCCCCCTGCCAAAGCAGGTTCCCTACACCAGGTCACACTTAACATCCACAAATCCTATTTCTTCTGTGTACACACATACCTGTGTTCATCAGGCAATAGGAAGTAATAACCCTTAGATGGTTAGCTCAGATCTTTGCTTAACTCCACACCTGCCTGAAGGTCTCGTGTGAAGGGTTGCCATTATTCCTTATGATGGAGATCAGGGCAATTTTATAGAAGTAAGGCTAAGGATGTGGTGTTTTCCAGGCAGTGGAAGCAGCATACCTTGTTGTGAGTCATCAGGCAAATCCTTAATAAAGTGAAAAAAATATGAGATGCTCCAGAAAATAAATCCTTAATACAGTGAGTAAGCATGAGATGCTCCATATAGGCATCCTCCCACAGGCTGGGCAGATTGAGAGCGATCTTTGCCACACAACATTTGTGGCTTGAGGTGAGGGAGGTGAAGCTTTGAGTGCTGTCACCAGATGGAGAAGACTAAAACCTAGCTCACTGCAATAGTTAAGTTAGTAACAGAAATTAAGAGCACCAGCACCTTGCTGGTTTGTGTCCTATGCAGCACATTCTCTGTTGCTTTCTCAGATCCAATCCAAGCCTTGGGTGCCTGTGGCAAAGAAGTGTGCAGTCTGCAGATCTCGGCTGTGTGGGAACTGTAAGATTGCTGCTGCAACTTCCAGCCCAGGGGACAAGGGGGAACATGCACTGAATAAGCACTGCAAGTGCTGGAGAAGTTTAGAGGACTGTAGAATGGTCACCTTGTAGCTGAGCATTAGTGAACCAGAGCACTACAATTACATAAAGTCTGCTGCAGATCTAATCCTCAATCTCTTGCCCAAGGTCACATCGGAGTTCAATGGAAGAGAAGCAATTGGAAACCAGACCACCAGAGCCCTAAGCTAACATATTCACCCTCTGAAGCAAGTCCTGCAAAATAAAAGCTCTAACACATGCTGCACTGTAGCAATTGCACGCTCAGTATGGTTGACTGCTAACATGGGGATAGGTGTCCAGGGGAGTACAACCAACAGCGTACAACGGGTACCTGCTTCTGCCAGGTTTCTATAAATACACACTTAGTAAATGCTTGCCATCTATCAAGCACAAAATAGCTATCCTATTAAACAACAATGCAATTATACTACCAGCCATAAACTTTTCAGCTGGAGTTCCAGGGTTATTTTTTCTTTGCCAAGTGTTATTTGATCACTCACCTGGAACAAGTAACTGTTTCCTGACAAGTGAATAAAATCTGGTCAGGTCTGAATCTTTCTTGCTTGCCTTGTTGAGGAGGTCAGTAGACCTTGTACTTGGCACTATACTTTTGTGGGTCCTAGCCCTCACTGAGTGAGAATATTTTCTAAATCACATTTGCTATACTTAAAGAGATGCAATGCATCTCTTTGAAAAATAGAGATTATGTATTTCTTCTGCAATTCTCACTTTCTATCCAAATATGTCTTTTAGTTAAGAAGGAATATCTCTAAGCCCCTGGTAGGAAATGAACAACTAACCATCAAGGTCTACTGCTCTAAGAGTCCCTAGATTACAGCCACACTACAAGAAAGAATGCAATGAATCTACTTTGTAAATTTTAGTGTGATTTATTTTACTGAGGATTAATTAATCATTCTTTCACCAAAGAATTAACAATGCTTATTTCCAGCACAGAAATGAACGGCTGTATTAGCAAGTAGCTACGGATTTATTCCAAGCAGGCAACCAAGTGTCAGAAGAAAAAAAAAAGGGATTTAATGCCGCACCAACAGGGAGTTCTGAGATGTGGAGCTGGAACACCCATTTGCAACACAGTTTGGTGGGACTTGGCTATTTGCTCTGAATGGAATAGGAAACTGGAAGGAATCTTGAATCTAAGGAGGATATACTAGAAGGAGAAGGGACCTAACAATTTCAGGCTGCACTCAGACCTGTGCTGAGATTTGAAAAAGCTCAGCTAAGCTGAATTCATACTGCTGGGGTGTGCACGCTTATTTGCTTTTCCCCGTTTTCTGGTGCACCACCCAGAAAGGCTATTTCCCAGCTGACAACTCAAAAGACTACAACAAAAACTTTACCCTGTGCTTCACAGAGCTCAGGGTCTAAATCATACTCAGGCGAGCAGCCTCAAAACTTTGGCCATTCCCACCAGGCCCCTGACTGTCCCATGACCTGTCTCCATAACTCCAGATGTGCAGTGGCATTGACCCGGCAGGGAGACATGCAGTGGTGCTTACCTCCAGGACCATCTCCGTCATCTGGAACTGCTTCTGGGACACCCTGTCAGAGCTCACAGGCTCATGGAAGAGCAGACAAAGCATGTCATACTTCTTCAGGGCATTCTTGTAGTTCTTCTCGTGCAGGTCGATCACTCGGTCTTTCCCATCATATGTGGGGAAATTCAGTCCTTCTTCTGCCTTGCAGCAGAAAAGCAGGCAAAAGCCTGCCAGGATCCAGCAAGTTGCCTTCATTGGGGAACCCTTGGAGTTCAGTGCAGTGCTGGCAAAGGTCTCTCTCCTTCTCAGTTTGGGAAGAGAAGGAGGCCAAGGGCTCCAGTGGGAGTCTGCACTGAGTTTCTCTTTCTTCTGCCTTCCTAGCGTTCAGTCCAAGCTCTGCAAGGCTGGTGGCAAGCAACAAACTTTGCTGTCCTGGGCTCACAACAAAGAGACAGACAGGAGAAGCTGTCAGGCCAAGCCCTGGATACCTTACATAGCTGTGTCCAGCTCCCGTGTCATTAGGAACTCCATTTTTAGGAAGCAGTTGTTTCAGGCTAAAAATAAACCCTGCAATGAATAAAAAGGACAGATATGACAGCATTGAGGGACTTGCTGGCACTCTGCATCATCTGAGAGTGAGAGAGTGAGTGAGAGGGAGTGTGAGGGAGTGCAGGAGGGAGTGGAGGCTGGCAATGCTGGGAGGACGCAGGCAGATTTGGGGAAGGGGCAGACTTCATTTATACGGCGAGCCAAGGCACACTCCGTCCTACTAGGGCTTAGCAAAAATAGAAGATATTGGCTGCCTTTTGTAACAAGGGTACCTCTGTAACCACTTGGGCATCGCAGTGATTAGGCAGTGGATAACAGAGCTTGGATAAAATCGTTTCAGACTTATCACTACCACTAGAGGAAAAGTCACATTTCCACAGCAGTAAAGGAGGTGAGCACTCCTGAGACTCTGTCACACTGCCTGGGGCACGAACTTGATTTGCTTGATGGAATTCAAGCTCTTTTCTGAAGCACTCTCTCTGCTAACAGAGTGCCAGGACATCTATTGGCCTTGGGATCTCCTGCTCATAACCGTAATCCCAAGTACAGAGAAGCTTCTTACTCACACAGCAGTTGCCAAGTCCCAGAGGTTGCTGGTTACCGATTAAAGGCTTGTCACGCTAAAGAATAAGAGCAAGATTCACACTGGTGCCTTGGGGCAGAAGATATGGGCCTCCTTCAGATGATGGGCAGATGCCACCATCACTGCTGGCTTCCCAGCCTCGGGGATCTGCCTGTTGTCCCTGAAGGTCTTTTCACAGAGCTTTGCTGCATCTCCTAACAAGTGAAATGGAGAATGATGACTGCTTCCCTGTTCCTGGTGCAGCAGCACATTCTTTCACCTCCTCTCCTCCTCTGACTGTGTGTCACTGCTGCCCCATGACTGGCAGCAACAGGGACATGGAGACAAGCCAGCTGGCTGCTGGCCAGCCTTGCCACCAGGATGATGCTGATCTACTGGGGAAGATATTTGGAGGATGGCAAAGAGGAGTGTGACAGTGGGGTGTCTCCTGCGCCAAAATGATGTGCAGGCAAACACCTTCATCAGGCCTGCTTCTTGCACATTGCTCCATCGTACCCTTACTCCATTCACATTTGTGAGGAGATAATGTCCCTGGTCCTATTTAATGCTATGACAGGGGTATTTTGCTGTTTGCTCGGGGCAAAAAGTGAGTGCTACTTAGCAATTATACCTCACTTCTGGGTGATGTAGGAGCACACTTCCCCCATAGATATCGCTTCCAACGTAGCTCACAACACATGAGCTGCTACTCTATGGGCAACAGTTTTGAAGTCTGTCCTATTTCCAAAACCTCTTATTTTCTGGTCTTGGCTTTTTAGGAATTTCTTTGTTTGCAACTTGATGTCCTAATGATGGAAGCTGAGAAATCCAGGTAGTAGCCAGGGCAAGACAGCCTCTGAAATTCACTCCCCACTGTGAGGGCTGTCATTTTCAGAGGGAGATGTGAAAAACCTGGATAAATCTGACTGCTGTTAGCAGGAGATGCAAGACTGCTGTCACAGTGGGTGACAACAGCTAGGTTTTTGCTAAATGTTTGGTCTGTAAAGCACAGAAGTGAGCTCGTGTGATGATCAGACCTACACTAGGTTGACTGATTGCCTTTGAAGGACTCCACGCACTTGGGGTGCAAGAATAGGCTGTCCTTGCCATCAGAGCATGTTTTAAAGCAGGCACACATCAGACAGGGTTGCAAAAATGAAATGTTCACTGATATTTCAAAATCAGCTTCCCAGGTTCCTACCCTCCTTTTATTTTTGTAGATATACAGCAATTGCTCCACTTTCATATCACTCAAGTTATTTTTGACATGCTTTTTCTCTAATCTGAATAACTTGTTCATGTGCCTAAAATAGACACAATCCAGTTTTCATTTTCTCCTCTTTTTGCCTTTTGAAAAATGAACAAATATTTTTGGGGGGTTTTTTTAGATACAAAAAAAAAATACTGCCTTGCTCACCCTATCCCCATCTATTCTGTTTGTGGCATGAGTAGCAGCAGCCTGTGATTTACGCTTCACCTCTGCCTCTAGGGCAATTATTCCAGCTGGACAACAAACATATCCTGGTCAATGGGACTCCATCTCAGAAACTGCTCAGAAACTCAGTGGGACTGTTAGTGCTAAACTCAGTGGGCATTTGCTGAGGTATTTCAGTTGTGGCTGCATCCATCTGAAACTTAAGATACCTTGGTCACTGTATCAGAAGTGGTTTTAAATGATTATACGCTTCGTAGGGGGCAGAATTTGTGTGTTTGATTTAAATCTTAAACAACTGTCTTGGTCACCTGAACTTCTTAATTCCAATGAGTGGAACTCTAGTCAAAGCACATGTTCTCACTGCAAACCTGCCAATACAGACCTGCAATTCCAGATTCATTTGTTGAGGGTGTTCAGAACAAGAAGTTAAGTGCTTGAGACTGAGACAGAGCTGTTTTGCCCCTGGGAGGATACTAGTAGCAGGGTTGTAACTGGAACTGAAGGGCTCAGAACAGGACAGCCTCAGGCCTTCACTTCGGGCTTGTAGAAATACTGAGTTCCTGCTAGTGAAAAGCAGGAGAGAAACAGAAAGCTCCTCGATTATTTTTTTCTCTTTGTGTACTAGAAATTAGGGATCTACTTGCTGCTCCTCGCCCCTAGCCACTCCAGCCCCACGCCACTGCTTTCACCTTCCTTGTCCTCTGCTGCTCCCCAGCCACCTCTGATCCAAATGCTTCAGTGAGCCTTTTTCTAGGGCACCAGGATTTAAGATTCTGCTTCAGCTAATCTCTTTGCAAGCCTCTAAGACCTCATGTGTTTTGCAAGATAGGAGTATTCAGAAAATAGGCCTTTTGCCACCAGCTTGACAAGCAAGGTCATAGCTTGTCATAATTTGCAGAGTGGCTGTCATTAGGGTGGGAACCTCCGGCATGAACTGACCCTTTCCAAGGAGGCTGAGAAGATCACCACCATCTTGAGGAGAGCTCTGCAGTGTGAGAAACCTACTTCTCTTTCCCTTCCCTTCACTCTTGCTGAAAGCCTTGAGGGGCGAGAAGCCTTTCACAGTGCTTATGCTGCCTGAACACTGATGCTGCTGTGTCTGTGGTGGTAAGTACAAGGCAGAGTTGGATTCTTCCTGTTCCTCTTTTAAACAGCCTGAGATCTTTGCAACTATCACCTGGTGACAGTCTTTGTGTTTTGACTGAGATGTCCCTAGGACCTGCTGTGTGATGAGAAAGTACCACTGGCTTTCCTGTCTTCTTCCATGCAGAAGACAATACCATGTAGAAGTTGTAAAGGGAAGGTCAGTGAGCTGACTGGGGATACTTGGCTCACCCTGAGTCACATAGCTCTTTGATAGCTCAGAAGGTCTTCTTTGTTGGACATTATCATTCATTACTACTAATGAAGTAGTTATCATTAATATGGTAGTAATTCAATTACTACTAATTAACATAAGAAATAAACAATGTGTTCTAACATTGTGTGCTGTCACTAGGACAAATTCAGCCCCATCTAGCCGTATCCATCAGCGCACTACGTTTCTCCTGGAGGAAGGTAGGATCACTGGGCTCCTGCTTTGCTTTGACTGTGATTTGTATGTGTGAGCACAGCTCTGTGCCTCTATCTCCACACACTGATGCATGTATTAAGTAGCAGCATTATCTCTACCCAACTTCCTAGCCAGGTTCTGAGATGAGGATCCTGCACCGGGCAAGGTTGAGGTGGCCAGATCGGGTGCCACTTGGGTTTTTCCCAGCCATACGAGCACCAGCATGTTTAGCAATGTCCCAGCAATGAGGCTTACTGGGTGTTTAATTTAATGGCCACGGAGGGAGCTGTGGCCAGCAGATTCACACCTGTTGCGCAGTGGCAGCTCAGCCCTCCCTCGCTCCCAACCTGCTGTGCTGCCTGGGAGCATGATGTCTGCTGGGGAAGTGCCGAAGTGACCACAGTGTGCTCCCAGGAACCTCATTCCTTTCGAATGATGAGCTGGACAAGCTTAGCACTCTCCCGATTTTCTCAAGGGGACAGAAACGTTTTGCTGCTCTTAAATTTCTGCTCTGTTTTCACTTCTCTCTAGCTGCACTTGAATCTCCCTGAATCTCTCTAGAGAGCCTGCTGGCACCTTTCAGGCGTGCACATTTCTAGGGAATAGCTTTCCAGAAAGTATCACTGTATCACAGTTAGTCCTTTATGCACTAAGAGCTCTGGGCTAAAACACATGCAACCTTTTTTTTTTTTTTTTTTTTTTTTTTTTAAGAAAAAGAACAGTTAGACAGTTTTTAAATTCAAATTCTTCCATGTGAATAATCCCTACTGGCAGCTAACTCACTCGAGATATCAGTGTGTAGATGGGGTACAGTTACACAGCATTCCCAAGCATTCAGAGCTAATGACTCAGGTGTTCCTCAGATCATTAAGTCAGCCTACCGAGTCAGAGACCTGAGAAGTGTCTTGCTTGTGATAATTTCTTCTGGCCTGGCAGCTTCAGAGTGCTTGTTTTCAAGCTTTTATTTGCATCCACAAAACAGAAGAAAGCTTCCCTGTTTAAAAATGGAAGCTTGAAGTTCTTCAGTAACAGCATGAACCCTGTACTCAAGAGCCAAGGAAAGACCTGAAAATCACAAATGGTATGATGATATAGTAGAAGTTAGTAAAAAGATGGAGACCTTGCCTTACTTATTAGGGATCACTGAAAAATGGCGT